ATCTTATTAGAAACTGCTAAATCAAACGAAAAACGCCTATATCTGGCAAATACTCCCGAGTTGAGCATTATGCTCATGACGGCATATGTTTTAGATGCAAAATTAGCCATTGAAAATAATCAGGCATTTATATATATTTTTTTTTAAGGATCAATTTGAAATTGGATATATTAAGTACACTGACCCCCTCATCCATTATATTTTTTCAGGCTCCTTTTAATTATCGTCTAGACATTGATTTGCGTGGAAGAACCTCAGGTTCCGATATTGCAAACATAACAGTTGAACTAGGAGAAATTACGTCTTCAAATGTGCCTTAGGCAATAAAAAAAAGCTATCGTCAACTCTTATTAAAATTGGCTGTGATCAGCTATGTGATTGAAGCATGTTCTGATGAAAAAGAACTACCCAAATTTAATTTGTTCGGAAAGGTATATGTACCAAAAACAGACCCTAACTTTAAAATCCCATCCGAAAAATGGAATAAGGGTATTAATTTCTCCGGTTCTGCTAATTATCATATAGATGTTATCACTATAGGAGAGAAATAATAGATTTATTTGATACATTGTATTTTCACACTAATCTATGTATGAGGTGACAAAACTCTTGTATAATTCATGATATTGCAAATTGTATCGCTATGAAATAAAATTGTCAAGTTTATAACGTCATGTGATCAATATCGACATTTCAAATTTGGCCGCTTTAAAACATTTTTGGTCGGAGAAAATTCAAGCTATATACATTAGTATCTACTTATTAATTTTAAACTATTTTAAATTTTTCTAAACTCGTCTGTTTCTCTTCGAGTTAATTTTTTAAAAAATTTTTTTTTCTCTGCAAAGGAAAGTGTTACTCGGAACATTTTTTAGTTGATGGCGCAGAAAAGTTAAATAGTTATTCAGACCAGATCCGCAGTTATGAATTTGAATGTTACTAGTCCAACTTCTTCTGATTACCCGATTACGTACAGGATTGATCGTGTTTTAGCCATCGAGATTGATTGCTATTCTTAATGGCAATGTTTACGAATTAGTATCGTTTGTTATCTCTTATAAAAGATCACTCCAGAAAGCCTTTGTCTAAAAACATGGTACAGATTGGGTGTAAGATAGATAAATAAATTATAAATGTAAAACAATCCTCTATTTAATTTGTATTCTACTAACGCTAATAGCAAAGAATCAAAAATCGGGGGTTTAAGCAAACAAATTTAATTTAAAACTGGTTTTTGAACAATTCAAACTATTGGACATTTTATTAATATAATTCACGTGATTATTGATGTTCGGTTTAACTGTTAAAAAGGGAAAAAGATGGTAGATCTTTTTTATTTGTCCGAGTTAATTCTTTTATTCACTTAATTATTGGCAACAAAGTAACAGAACAATGAAAAGACCTTCCAACAAGCGTCATCGTCTAAGCGACGATTTAGATTCTCGCTTATTTCCTTATATTCAACAAATACTAGAAAAGAAAGGTGTATCTATTTCTACAAATGCGGTATTTGAATATGTTCAACATGTCGAATGTTTTAAAAGAATTAAAAAAATACATTTAGAGCAAAGCCTTGATAGAGGTTCAAATTCAATATTTGTGTTTGATTAGAAAATACGAAATAAAAATGATCTATTAGGATTAATGTTCTTTTCAACGTTAGTTTTAAAATCGGTAAAGAAACAATACATTAAACAACAAAATGAAGGCTCAACATCACCAAACAAAACTGAAGAAATTAAATTAGAAAGGTTAGAAAATGTTACAGATATGCTTAAATTATATAAAGATAATTAAGGCTTTTAGTATAAATTTAGTGAACCGTCAGAACTTGACGAAATGGAATATGAGAATCTTGAAATTGAAGATGTTCAGATGATGGAAGTTAAGGTTTAGATAATTTTTTCCATTTTAATATCTTATGATCTTTTTATTACGACATAAATTATAAAATATTTATAATTAAAGGACACAAATCTTATGAACCAATCTATTACAAAAGTATGGTCTCAGCATCGTCCTCAGTCAACTGAACAATCACCTATTAAAACTTCATCAACCGAGTCCACTTCAAATGTAATACCACAATCATTTAAAGCTGATAATAAAATTCAGGACAAAAAAGAAAAACAAAGTAAATCAAAAATTAAAGTTTCGAAAATGGATTCCAAGAATTTAAAAAGTAAGCATTTAAAGATTTAATATACGTACCAGTTATACCATTTCACATAATTTCATTTTGATAGATCAAGAAAACAGAGATGTTTTATCGTTACCTTCAACTAGATTATCAGACTTGGGTGGAGTTGAATCTTGTATTGAAGAAGTCTTGGAATTAGTCGCTATGCCATTGGCTCATCCAGAAATTTATTTACATACTGGAGTAAATCCACCAAGGTGATGAAAAATTATTATTGTGTAAATATACAATAATAACAATAATATCATCAATATATTAATTTATAATTCTCCATGCCAACAGAGGAATATTATTACATGGGCCTCCAGGTTGCGGAAAAACGTTACTAGCGAATGCTATAGCTGGAGTAAGAAATTTGAAATTGTAAAAAAACTTTGTATTTCATATAAGCAACAACTTATGACAACCTTTACAGGAATCGGGTGTTCCATTTATTAGTATTTCTGCACCATCTGTAGTTTCTGGGATGTCAGGAGAATCAGAAAAAAAGATTCGTGAAGTATTTGAAGAAGCTAAAGTTTGTAAAAATTTAATTGAAAAATGTTGTTTGTAACTTGAATCTACTTATCAGTAAATTTAATTTGATTTTTTTTTTGTAGGAAAAAGCTCCATGTTTATTATTTATTGATGAAATTGACGCGATTACCCCGAAAAGGGAAACGGCTCAACGTGAAATGGAAAGACGTATAGTAGCACAATTGTTAACATGCATGGATGGTACTTTGAAATAAACTTGAAATTTCAAAATTATTAAATTTATTTTTTAAATTAAGTATTTTCAAATAATATGTAGATTTGTCATGGGATAAGACAGATAACCGGCCAATTTTGGTTATCGGTGCGACGAATAGACCAGATTCACTTGATCCGGCGTTAAGGCGCGCAGGACGATTTGATAGAGAAATCAGCATGGGTGTTCCAGATGAACAAGCAAGAGAAAAGATTTTAAAAGTAATTTCATCCAAATTAAGACTTTCTGGTGATTTTGATTTCAAGGATCTTGCCAAATTGACACCTGGATACGTTGGTGCAGATTTAAATGCGCTGACTGATGCAGCTGGAATTATTGCTGTAAAACGGATTTTCACACATTTGAGTGAATCTGATATACTCAATGTTGATATAAATAACGAAATGAGGACTAATAATATTAATTCAAACAGCCCATCAACTTCATTCGAGAACCTAAATCCAATTGATAAATTAAATTCTATATCTGCTTTTCTAAAGAATCATCCTGATCCACTTACTGAGGAAGAACTCGAACCTCTTAGCATAACTAACGATGATTTTATACAAGCTCTTTCTAAAGTTCAACCCTCATCAAAACGTGAAGGATTTGCAACGGTTCCTGACGTTACTTGGTCTGATATTGGCGCGTTAAGCTTTATCAGGGATGAATTAAGAATGACCATTGTTGAGCCCATAAAGCATCCTGAATTGTTCAATAGAGTAGGAATAACGGCTCCTGCTGGTGTATTACTGTGGGGACCACCAGGATGTGGAAAGACCCTCTTAGCCAAAGCGGTTGCTAATGAAAGTCACATTAATTTTATATCAGTCAAAGGGCCTGAGTTATTGAACAAGGTTTGAAATTAAATGTAGAATTAATTTAATGATACGCCAATCTACCTATTAATGTGTTGATTTTAATATTTGATAGTATGTTGGTGAGAGTGAGCGCGCCGTACGTCAAGTTTTTGCACGAGCAAGAGCCTCATCGCCATGTGTTATATTTTTTGATGAATTAGATGCCCTTTGTGCTCGACGCGATAATTCTCAGGTTATATTTTGCCTCCACTTATATACATTTAATTTTTCAACAAGTAGATATATTTAATTCTTTGGTTTCTTATAGTCCGAAGCTTCAGCTCGTGTTGTCAATACATTACTTACTGAACTAGATGGGTTAGAAAATCGAAAACAGGTGTATGTTATAGCTGCTACAAATAGGCCTGGTAATTTCCATCATGCAACCTTACAATATTTTCATAACTCTAATTATTCAAATTTTTCACTAAAATAAATTTTAATTTATTTAAGATATCATTGATCCGGCTATTATGAGACCTGGTCGCTTAGATAAACTTTTATATGTAGAATTACCCACAGCATCTGAGAGATATGAAATTTTAAAGACATTAACAAAACGGACTCCTTTAGGAAATGATGTTTCTTTAATTAAGATTGCTGAAGATCAAAGATGTACTAATTTTAGGTAAGTTTGGATAAGTTATAAAGAAAGATATTGGAAATTGATGTTAAATTAATTATGTTATTCTCGATAAAGTGGTGCAGATCTAGCATCTCTTATTCGTGAAGCGGCCGTATCTGCATTAAGATCTACATTACATTCACAAGATGATAAATTGCCAGAAAATGAAATATTTGTTAATACTAGTCATTTTGAAACGGCTTTCAGCAAGGTAGCTCCTAGCGTTTCAAAATCAGATAAAGACAGATACAATTCTTTGAGAGTTGAGTTTGGTTGTGCTACAGATGATAGAGTTACGAAACATGCTAACGAATAGTGCTCGAACCCGTTAATATTTACAGAACTCAAAATTTTTTTAATAATATTAATTTTTATTTCGCAAATAGATTTGACTTAACTGATCGTTTTTTATTTATGCAATTTGATGAAATTAAGTTTAATACTAATTTAGAATATCTTTATTTGTGAATAAACAATATCTGCGATTACGCGCGTTACACAATGGTTGCTCTTAAAAGTTCGCCTAACCAATTTCTATAATTTTTTTTTTTCAAAATTAAATTTTAATAACAAAAAATGTTCAATAATATTTAAAAAGGCAATTTTTTTTTTTAAAATAAAAAGTTTTTAAATATTAAATAGCATCTATATATTAAGTAAAATTCGGTTTAGAGAAAATCGTCCATAAAGTATATATAATAATAAAAAAATTAGAATAATGTTTTAAAAAAAATGTTACCTGTCAATAATTTATTAAGTTTAGCAATCTTAGAAGAAACAGACAAATCAAGAGTCTTATCACTTCCGAATTCAATCACCAACCCGCCAAGGATTGATGGGTTAACCTTAATTTGTGTTCAAAAATTCAAAATGCGTAATATTTTTTTTATATTGTTAGCATAATTTAAAGTAATTTTTAAAATTATTAAATATGAATCACAACATACTTTATTCGAAATAATGAGCTTTTGGTTTGAATCAACGAATTTGCTCTTACTCAAGGAAGTTTTAAGTTGATTCAAAATTTTAGAATCAAGTACCTATAAAGTATATATATATATAATATATTAATAAATTTTAAAATCAAGTAAAGCTTTTTAAAAACCAACCTTAGCAGAGATGATTGTAACAGGAATTTCGTTGCGATTAGCTGTCATTAATGATTGATACGCATTAATAATTTTTATGGTTTCGGTGAGTCGACCATTTTCAGCTAAAACTGTGAAAAAGTTCTTGGTAGTGTCGCAATAATTTCCATCTTTTAATAATTGGTGTACACCATCTTTCTTTTTTTGACGACTTAAGGAAGGATCCTCAAGAAAACTACGAATGTTAGGATCTTTTTCAATTACAGATTTAACTTTCTTAAGTTCTGTTTCAACATGTTCAAGATTATTTTTCTTAGAGGCAGCAGTAAATAATGCTGTAGAATAACGACCTTCAATGCCATAAAGGGTCAAAGGAATCTATAAAATAAAAACGGCATTAACATTAAATTATTAGAGCGAATGACTTGATTAAATTCATTACCTTGACAATTTTGGAAGTCGGGGTGGCATAGCCTCGAACAAACTATTATATATATCAAAAAGGTGAGACTAAAATATAAACTTACGAGTTAAATAACTAACTGTACCTTTGGAACAGAAATCAAGGCTCGTTTAGCCAAGCTGAAAGAGGTGAATGAGGTCATTCCAAACAAAAATTTAAATTATAATATTCAATAAAATCTTTTAATTAATTATTCACAATATACATGAACTCGTCAACAAATTCTATTTCACAAATAACAACATATAAGAAAAGTCGAGAGAATTTTTCATCACTTTATTAAAATTAGATTATCGTAATTGGATAATGAATAGTTTTACTAAATTAGATAGGATCTACAAATAAAAATAAATATAAATTTGGAACCTTATTTAATCGAACGTGTTTTTTAATAATCAACTTTTCATTTAATAAAAATCATTAGCCCACGTACTTATTAATAATGTTCCGTTCAAATAAATCAAAATTAGCAAAATCCATATTACAACAAGGCGTAAATAATGCCCAACGTTATTATGCTTCAACAATTCAACTTCCTTTTCACCCTCATTACGTTCCGCCAGGTCAACCTACAACTACTTCTATCATACGAAAACAAAATAATTTAAAAGGCAAAAATTTTTCGAAAACTTCAAGCAATCCATCTACTACTTTTGGAATTTATTCCTTCAATCATGCACAACATTCACAACCTTTTCCAATTAGTGTATTAAATAATACTACCAATTCAATGATTTTAGGACTTGTACCAACATTTAATAGGTTACAAAAAATTTCTTTTTCAAAAAAAGATGATGTTTTATTATCGACAAACTTTTTTGGTGATACTAGTAATGAAGCTACAAAAAGAAAGATTCCTTTTTTATTTAGAATTTCTACGATATGTTTTGTGGTAGCTGGTTTTATTAGGAGTTATCATCGAAGGAAGAGTAATAGCAACTTGTATAATGGAAACGATGATTATCGAATTGAGAATTCTTCCAACTCGGAACCTTCATAATATATATAATTTTAGGAAAAAGTAAGCATAATCTTTATTTTAGGTAAAAGTTAAATTTTTTATTTAATGTTGTGAATTTAGCGAATTATAATTTCAATAACTATGTATAGTTTCAAATCAATGTACATATTATGCAATAACATTTTGAAATATAACGAGTAGATAATGGATTTTTCTTAAACAAGTGTTTTTTTTTTTTTTTTTTTGTAATTTTCAAGTAAATTCATACCAAATCATATATTCAATGATGAAAATTAAAAAGTTGATAATAATGAATTTATTTTAACTTTTAGCAAAAATAGTAATTTATAATGTATATTTAAACATATTTAAACTAATAATTTACAGATTTATTAAAATTTAATTAATTTCAAGTATAATTTTATATTTATATCAAATATTTCTTTAATATAAAAATAATATAAAAATAAAAATATTTGGTTTACCTGCTTAGTTAAATTTATCTTTTACTGTTTATTTTTATAATTTTCTTTGAAATGAAGAAAGTTTTAAAAATTTTAAAGATAATCAAATGATAATGCAATCTTTTTAATAAGATCAAATAATTAACAAATGTAACCAAATAATGCAAGTCATTAAATATAGGTAACCAAATAATATAATATTTCAAGTAAAAAAACAAATGATATATAACAGTTTATATATTTTATAATAATTATTTAAATTATATATACTTATATTTTTTTTTAAATTTTTTAACTATAAATAAGATTATTTATTAATAATTAAAAATTCAGATGTTAATTTGTATTAAAAATTTAAAAAATTTCTATTTATGTATAAAATATATAAATATTATATATTGTAATATAAATAATATATTTTAATAAAATAAAATATATTAAAATATAATATAAAATAGTGTCAGGTAATTGGACAATTTTGGACAGTTTTGAACATATTTTAGACAGGTTTTTAGACACTTTTTTTTATGTCCAAAACTTTGTCCAAAACTTTTAAAATCTAAAACTGTGTCTAAAACCCATCATTGATATAAAATAATAAATAATTACTATTCAAAACCTTTTACAGCCAAAATATCCAAGATGAGTTTTTTTGGGTAATACAATTCAAAAAATCAAGTGAAATCATAAGATTCAATCTGGAGATGCCTCAATATTATTAACCAAGTTACTTCAATTATAATTTAAAGATCCTTCTTGTTTGTAAAACCTTTAACTGACTAATTAGATGTCATTTCAGCAACATAAAAGATGGCTTCAGTTTAGTGATATTATTATTCATAATAATACAACTAGAACAAATAAATACAACTATCCCTTAAGCTTGTTTATATTAATTAATAATCTTAATAAAAGTAGATTGGTGACATAAGCATTTCTTGCAAATGAATGACAAGAATCATACATTTGGTTATTAAAGGTATGTTTGAAAGCTACAAATATACAACCAAAAACATTTGTTACAGATGCAGATCTGGCTATGCTTGCAGCTTAATCAATAGTATTTGATCAATCTCATCACATGCAATACCTTTATAATCTTTAACAGAATCTTTACAAAAATTTTTGATCACACCTTAGCTCAAATTATTAAAAGTTTTTTATTGATTTCAAACATATTCAAAGATTGTTAACAGAAGAAGGTTTTGATAAGAGATCTCAAGATCTTATTAACAAATATTCAGAAGGTGCAAGCTACATTCAAAAAGGTTTTATTTAATAGAAAATATATATGGTAAAATGTTTCAATTATATCGCTTTACAGTAGATACACAATGAACTTAACATGTTGAAAGTGAAAATACACTATTTAAAAAACAGTGCAATTTTTATTTTCTTTATTTCAAGTTTAGAAGGTTATAGAATAATGTCTTAATACTAAAAATATTAATAAACATTATCTTATTTGAAAAGCTAGTATCACGTTATATACATAACTATTTATTATAAGTAGTTTTTTTTTCAAAAATTGATAAGATAATTAAGAAATATGTTACAAATTTGATTCATAATATGCATTACAAGCAAATGTGTAAATCTGTATACTACAAAGCAAATCAAGTTTCTATTAATAAAATTTTTATCTTTAATAATAATATTAATTGTTGAATCTCAGGAGCTTGAAAGTTTTATAAAGATAGATGAAGATTGTGAAAAGTATTTATAATTAATAATTAAGCTTATTAATTAGGATGATATCTTAAAAATTTGGAAATTAACTTGATATAGTTATTTTAAGTATTATCAACATGTAATTTTACTTTAAAATAATGAGTATTTATGTATATACTCTATGTTAATTACTTATAGAATTATTTGCTAGCATTTTTTTAAAGTATTTGTAGAATCAGATAAAGCACATTTTTATGTTTTTTTAATTTTTAATTGCTAGTATTAAGATCAAATTGTTGATCATTCAGATTTATTATTAAACAAGATATACATAAAAAATAATGAGTTTATTATTCATAATTTTTGAGCGGAGATATATCTGAGATAATAGTTTGCAAATAAATAAAGAACAAAAAAAAAGTTCAAAGTTAATTTAAATATGAAACACTAATAGGAGAAGCAAAAAAGATTATTAATTATGCATTTCAAGATGAGGATAATAAATTATTGCATCTTATTAAAAATTATATTGATAAAAAGAGCAATGGTATCTTAATTTTGAATCAGAAAAGAGATTAAGAGAACAGCATATATTGGATAGTTATAATCAAATTGTTATTAAATCTAAAGACAAATTAATTAATATTCAAGATCTAATATATCATCAAC